CTAAGCCATAGGTTCCTAGGGCATCGACAGATGCGACACGCAATCGCCCAGCGAGCCGTGATAGGCTGCTGCTCCCTAGCGGGTACAGTGGAGGCCAGTCCACAAGAAACCTTCCACAAGATACCAAGCCCTGAGACCCCAGGACATCCATTGATTGCTGGCGTGGGAACGCCACGCTCTCCATCGCAAAACCATCGAAACCCAAGAAACGCAGGGCAGGATGTTTCTTGGCATGGGCCTCCACTGTAGAAGGGCTGGCGGCACGAACGCTGGAGTGGCGCGAGAGGAGCGGTCTTTGAAGAAGGCGGGGTGCTCTCCTAATTACGCAGGAAGGCAAAGGGCTCCTCAGCAACCCTCCCAGAAGGCGGCAAGCGAGGGGGGGAAGCGACGAGGAGAAGACCTTCTCAGAAGGTTCGGCAGTCCCCCGGCCTTGTGAGAAGTCTTCTGGACCTTCCCCGGCGACAGACACAAACTTCTCAAAGGCGCGAAGGCTTCTGAGAAGTCCGCCCGCCTTCTGAGAAGGCTTTCTCCGTCTCATGCCGTCGATCCCAACCTCTTTCCTAGAAGCCCGCGGCCCCTCCTCAGAGGGCACCGCGTTCTTGGAAGCTGCCCCGACGTTGTCCCAACCGTCGCCCCCCTTGCATCACACCCGGATGCGCGCCACCAGCAAGAACTCCGGGGTATCTCCCTTGGCACCACGCCCGACGAAGCGTGCCAACAAAACAATTTCGGACGGCGTCCCTCCTGGAGGCCAGTCCGCACACCCCGCGCAAGGGCAACGGCGTGCTGCCTGCACACACGACGGCCAGAGCAATCGAGATCGAACGGCAGAATCTGCGACGGCGAAGCGGCGTTGTTTCCGATGGCGACGGTGTTGACAGCAATGCTGGTAATCTCACCAGCCCTTTTAGTGCATGTGGTTTAGGGAGCGTCCTCTTCCAACCCTCCGTGTTCCCCTTCGGGGAGGGGTCCACCCTGCATCACCCCCTCACCCTGGGTTTGGAGGGGGCGTTTCGCAAGAGGTTGGAGCGTCCAAGATGGCAACGGCGAGGAAGCCAACATAATTACTGTTACTACGGTTTTGGCTACATGTTGGCCCCTGGGGGGTGCCTAATTAGGGAGCTCCTCTACTTTGATCGATCTCTTCCAAGATGGCCCCACGATGGCAAGCGAGGCTCCCAAGGGTGCCACGAGACGGCCCCCAAGAGGTGCCCAGGAGGCCCTCGGAGAGCCCCAAGAGGCCCAAGAGGCCCCAAGAGGCTCTAGAGAGACCCCCAAGAGGCCCCAAGAGACCCTCCCAGAGGCACCAAAATAAGCCCTAAGAGGCCTCGACGAGAAAACCAAACTCATTGATTTTACTGCGTTGTTGGTCGCATGTTGGCCTCCTGGGGGAGGGGGCCAAATTAAGGAGCCCCCATCATCTGGTCGATCTCTTCCAAGATTGCCCCCAGATGGCGCCCAGGGCATCCAAGGGTGCCCGAAGAGGCCCCCAAGATGCCCGCACGAGGCTCCCAAGAGACCTCCAAGAGGCTCCAAAAGACCCTCAGAGACACCCAATACGCCCCAAGAGGCCCCCGGGACTGCCAAGAGTCCCCCAAGACGCCCCAAGAGGCATCAATCAGGCTTCTGGCCTTCCTGCTCGCCCTCCTCCTGACGATCCTCCTTCTCCTCCTCCTCCCACTCGCCCTCCATTCCCTTTCCTTATACAGAACTTCTCGCTGTCGCACCCCGATGCCAGTTTTTAGGGCGGGCCCGGCGTTTCGCCTGAGACTTCACACCATTTATGACTCTGAAGCTTAAACAGTGACAACAACTTCACAGATGGAGGGCGGGTGGTTTTCAAAATGTGGCCCTCGCCTGAGCGCCGCGCGCATTCGTTTGAAACAAATGCAAGAACTTCACGGATTGAGGGCGGGTCGCTTTCGAAATGTGGCTCTCGCCTTAGCGCTGCGCACATTCGTTCGAACAAATTGCAAGAGCTTCACGGATTGAGGGCGGGTCCTTTTCAACATGTGGCTCTCGCATTTGCGCCGCGCACTTAACAAATGCAAGAGCTTCACAGATTGAGGGCGGGTGTTTTTCAAAGTGTGGCTCTCGCCGTAGGGCCGCGCACATTCGTTGTAAACATTTGCACGAATTTCACGGAATGAGGGCGGGTCGTTTTCAAAATGTGGCTGTCGCCGTAGCGTCACGCACATTTGCTTAAACCAATTACAAGAGTGTTGCGGATTGAGGGCGGTTCCTTTTCAACATGTGGCTCTCGCCGTAGCGCCGCGTACATTCGTTTTTTAAAATTGCAAGAGTTTCACGGGTTCCCATGATCAACGTACCGGAAATGTTTTTTTGAAGAATTCCTGATTATGCGGGCGCATCAGTCATGTTGATTCGCTGTGTTAAGGTCCCAAAAATGGCGTTCTGGCACGACTCTGGATCGCCAAGACGCAGCAGTCAGGTTGATACGTGGCGTTGAAATCCCGAGAACAATGTGCTGGCACGCTTC